ATTATAGTGTTTTGAAAAGCTCTCAAGGTAAGTTACAAGAATATATAATGAAAAATGGAAGGTTCCATTTAAAAAATTCGAAGTGACCTTGCCCTGACCTTGACAACGCTACCCAAGGTCAAACCAATGATACCACTTTATGTCCCCCTCGAAGTCACAAAACATTTGTTTGAAACATTTTTCTCTAAAATGCACTATTCAAGAGAAATTTGAGGTTGTCATTTAAAATGGGACACCCTGTATATCGAAATTTATGTCATTCTATTCACAAGAATTTTTTTTATTCGCTTAAACAGCTTATTATTTCCTGGCCTTTTTTTCCTATTTTGAATAAAAGAAATCCTGATCATAACTAGAATGTTTAATTATTCAGGGTTTAGGCGAGACTGCGACTCAACTGGTTCGCGTGGCAAGTGAGGAACACGAGCACAAGGGCACTGTCGGTGCTGTTGGCGGTGTATTACGACAAATTCCACCGACGGTTGTGAAACCGATTATTCTGGCCACCGAGGCAACGAGCAACGTATTGGGTGGCATGCGATCATCGTTAGTACCCGATGCACGTCGAGAGGCAGTACAAAAGTGGCGGCAAGATTCCGATACGTGTTAATCCCGTCGATACAGAGTGGGAAAATTGTTAAATCATTATCGGATTGTCAATCAATTTCGCTCAAACAACGCTTTTTGATCGCAGCCAGTTAGGCCGAGCCACTTTTTATTGTAAAATATTCATGACATATATATATATGTATGGAAAAAGAATATTAAGTATAGGATAAGAGTGCCATACGTTTGCATTACGTTTGGCGATATTGTGATTATTCTCACTAGATCTATGCGAATTATTATCGTTCGGTCTGTGCAATTAGGCCTCGAAGGAATCAAAGAATCAGAAAAGAGTGCAAAGAACCGACAGACCTAAAGACGGATCGTCAATAGACGACGAAATACAAGAGGAATCGCCATTGGGTCCTAATTATGAATATTATATTGTTGACGTAGTCAAATCGGTTCCATTCATTTTTTGTACATTATGAAAAGTGTGCGACGCATCTGGCAGAGATTTAATGATAAATCACTTAGTTAAAAATTTTCGCTAATTTCGTTACAATTGTACAAAATACTTGTTACACTTGTAGAATATAAAGATAGCTAAGCTCTATACCGCAAAGGAATATATTACATTGCTTCTATATATTCCTTCTCTATACATTATATATACATATATATTTTTTTGTTTCGATCATGTGAATGTTTTATACCAATGATATATGTGTATCCGAAGATTTTTATTAATAAAATTATACATACAATATAAAAGAACGCATTGTTATTCTACATAATTTTTATGACAATTATTTATTTGTATCATTTAGTTGTAATGTACGTGGTGCGTACACAAGTGGGCCCACTACACACACTACACACATTACACACATACACACACATGCATACGCCGACTTCCCGACAAAGTCGGTACGCGACAGACCGGCGCCGCGGTCGGCGCTTTTTATCTTAGGCGAACAATAATGATCACGTGCGATATCGAAGACCACGATTGGTCGACTATCACCGATGAATTTTCCTATGAAAGGAGCGCCTTCGAAGGGTTAGCCGAGACAGAAATCAACACGCAGCGTGCGAGATAACACGTTATATCATAAGACCGAGTTCTTTTCATCGTGCGAATAGAGACCGAGTTCTCTCTTATTACATAAAAGCCGAGACCTTTTATATCACGAGGCCGAGTCCTCATACAATACAGATTGTATAAGAACAATAAAACAATTAATAAACAATTAATACGTGGAGTGATCTTCCCCGTATACGATACATAAATTTGGTGCCTCCTGTGAGGTCGTTCGCGAGGCGAACGCGAACGACGTTTGGACGAACGAGATTCTGCCGATCATTCAGATTTCCAATCAATCACAAGTGGACGAGATTCACGAGACGATCAAATTTGGATGGACGATTATCCGGGAAGGCGAATAAAGCGGGACAGAGCACACAAAGAGACACGAGCAAACGGCGAGGACATTGTTCAAATTTAACAGATTACCGATCACGCAATTTTTCTCTATCCTTTACCATCTCCTAATCATGGCCGAAAGGATCAAACTCCTTATTCAAAAGCGGACTTCCTTAAAGTCTCAGATCACTAGCTTAACAAACATACTCGAAAAAGATCGACAGGGTCGCCACGATAAGATCGCGTTAAATTTACGCATGGCGCGCGTCACGTATCTTTACCATGCGTATGAAGAATACAATGACGAATTACTGACATTAGATTCGAACGAGAGTCACAAAGACGAATTCGCAAATGTCCAAGAAAGGTTCTATTCATTGGCGAGCAGATTTGAGACTTTAACGGGTTCCACAGAGTTCCCCGCAAACGCCGGCACTTCGAGCGGTGTGCCTTCCCCCGTCAATACGAATCCCATGCACGTCGTAAAACGGAAAATAAAATTACCTGAAACGTTGCTATCTAGTTTCGACGGGCAATATGATAATTGGTTATCGTTCAAAAATGCGTTTATCGCGATGATAGACACGCGTACGGATTTGGACGATATAGAAAAGTTGCATTATTTACGGTCGGCATTAACCGGTGAAGCGGCGAATAAGATAAAGATCTTAATAATCGAAGGCGCGAATTATAATAAAGCCTGGGAACTATTGAAACGTGCATACGAAGTAAAACGTGTTCTGATCTCACGTCATCTCTCAATGTTAATAAATTTGCCAACGGTAGAAAAAGAAACTACTGAAGGTTTATCTAAGCTTGCTGACGACGCGCAGCAACATGTCGCATCCTTAGCCTCGCTGGGAGTTGACGTGGGATCCGAGATACTCGTCAACATACTACAAAGCAAATTACTAAAAATACGGCCGAAAAATGGGAGGAAACGCTCAAACGCGATGAATTTCCAAAGATCGATGACCTATATGAATTCTTATATAAAACCGCGGTTCGCGTGTCTAAGCGCACTCGCCCGGAACTCTCTAAACACTACGACAAGAATTCACCCTCGGTAAAAAAACCGCGAATATCTAATAAAGCCTTTATAATCAATACGGCGAATAATTGCGTAGCATGTAAAACTAAACAACACCCATTATTCAAGTGCGATAAATTTAAGCAGTTGGACGTCCCCAAGCGTATCGAAGTCATAAGAAACGCCAGGCTTTGTTACAATTGTTTGCGTTCGCATAGAGGCAAGCCTTGCAGTTACGCGAATTGCACCATTTGTCAAAAAAAACATAACACGCTTTTGCACATCGACAAATATTCGCCCGCAGTTACAAAGGGCGACACAGCAGAATCGAAAACGGGAAAGATGTTATGACTAACATCCAAAGCCGGCAATAATACGACGTGTCTCGCAACCATTTCGCCCACATTCGCACCGCAATTAATGACAACCGCGATGATACTCGTACAAAATCGCGAATTCGAATTAATTAAATGCCGCGCACTATTGGATACATGCGCCACGACTAATTTCGTGTCTGAAAGTTTCGCAAAACATTTAAATCTTCCCATAACCGCGTGCACGCTACCGATCGGCGCAATCAATTCAACGAACACAACATCCAAGGACGTCGTTAGAATCACCATCCAATCAATATATAGCGAATTCAGTAAGGACTTAATACGTTTATTAATTCCAACAATATCAGATTTAATTCCATCGGAAAACTTCCCTCGAGGAACTCTTAAAATACCGCCCAACGTACCATTAGCCGATCCAGAGTTTCACGCGCCACGTCCCGTGGATATATTAATCGGTGCTGGGCCGACATTATCTTTGTTTTCGATAGGCCAAATTAATCTATCACGAGACGGTCACGATCTATATTTACAAAAAACACGTCTGGGATGGATAGTCGCAGGCGGGAATGCTTCACAAAGTCGTCTTAAAACCACCGCATGCTCATTAACTAACTTAGATCAACAAATTGCAAAATTTTGGACGATCGAGGAAATAACAAATAACATCCCGAAATCAGTTGAGGAGAGTGAATGTGAAACACATTTCACAGACAATGTTACTCGTTGCAATAACGGACGATATATAGTACGATTACCATTTCGCAAAGGTGATAGACAACTCGGTGAGTCGCGTGCTGTTGCCCTTAAACGTTTACAGTCTCTCGAGCGTAAACTAGATTCCGATCCAAAACTAAAGACGTCTTATTCTCAAACAATGCAAGAATATTTATACATGAAACACATGTCTCCGATTGATGAGCCCCTTGACGACGGGTTTTATATGCCACACCACGCAGTAGTCAAATCTTCGAGCAACACGACCAAGGTTCGCGTAGTATTCGATGCGTCAGCAAAAACAAACAACGGTTTATCTCTAAATGATATATTGACAGTAGGATCTACCATACAAGACTCGTTATTTGCACATCTACTTCGTTTTCGTATGCATAAATATGTGCTGTCCGCGGATATAGAAAAAATGTATCGGCAAGTAATACTTCACCAGGACGATCGAACATATCAACGTATACTTTGGCGTCAGGACGGTCAAATCAAAACCTTCCAACTTAACACACTTACATTTGGCGTATCTTCATCACCTTATCTCGCGATACGCACAATTCATAAGCTTGCCGATGACGAACGCGACGCATATCCTAACGCCGCTGAAGTTCTTAAAACACATCTATACGTGGATGATTTATTAACCGGTGCAGAAACGATTGATAAAGCTCGTTCATTACGCGACGAGATAATCACGCTGTTATCTCGAGACGGTTTTAACATCCGGCAATGGGCCTCGAACGAGAAACGCGTTATCGAGGATTTAAAACCCGACGCCGTGAATTCCGATCTCATTTTCGACAAACCTAATACTTTAAGAACGTTAGGTATATTGTGGTGCCCGCGCGAGGACATGCTACGTTACTCAGTCCGTTCTATCAATCATACCAAACGGATCACGAAGCGACTCGTCATCTCAGAAATTGCCAAGATATTCGACCCTTTGGGCATCATAGGGCCGGTCATATTGTATGCAAAAAAAACTAATGCAGGATTTATGGCGATGCAAATTACACTGGGACGAATCTATACCCCCTAGCATACACTCTGCATGGAACGAATTCGCGACACAATTAGACTCTATTAAGGAATTATCTATCGATCGCCAGATACTAATCCCTGGCCATATTGACATTCAGGTTCACGGATTTTGTGACGCGAGCAATATAGGCTACGGTGCCTGTATATACGTCCGCTCAAACGATAAATATAACAACACGCGTTGTCATCTGTTATGCGCCAAGTCACGGGTTGCGCCACTAAAAACTGTAACAATACCACGTCTCGAATTATGCGGTGCGCTTCTATTAACAAAATTATATGAAGAAATTCGCGGTGCGGTAAAATTGTCTTTTAACAAGGTAATCATGTGGGGCGATTCGACCATAGTACTTTATTGGTTGAAAACTTCTCATCTCTTAAAACCTTATGTTTCGCATCGAGTCGCGCAAGAAATAACACACCCACAATTTTGGCGACATGTCAGGTCAAAGGATAATCCCGCCGACGCGTCGTGGCTAACGAATGTCGAAAGCGAGTGGCCTAATAATATCGTAGAATTAAACGAAATACCGGAACTCAGAAAAAATGTTTGTCTGACAACAAATGTCGTTGATCTTAGTATTTTTCAAAGATATTCGTCATATTCGAGAATGTTGCGAGTCACGGCGTGGTGCTTACGTTTTCGGCCAAAGAATACTTATCGGGGACAATTATGTATAAATGAACTAGATGAAGCAGAAATCCGAATAATAAAAATTATTCAAACTTGTAGTTTCTCGCGTGAATTGAAAGAACTCTCTAATGGAAAGTCGATGAGCAAAGGCAATATCGCTGCTTTGAATCCATTCATCGATGAAAACGGCTTGATACGTGTCGGTGGACGTCTGAAAGGATCGAAGTTGACATATACACAGAAACATTCAATTTTAATCCCGAGTCGCCATTACATGACTGATCTCATTATTAGAGAGATACACGAAAAATATTACCATACCGGCATTCAAACTACCCTATATACAATTCGGCGGAAATTTTGGCTGCTCGATGGGTGAAACCAAGTGCGCAAAGTCATACGATCATGTATACGTTGTTTTCGGTTCAACGCGGATACCGTTAAATATAAAATGGGTGATTTG